GTACCTGCCGCAGCGCGCCCGTCAGCTGGATCACGTAACTCCAGATAAGCGGCTCCGGTATCAGTGCTGTCAGAGACAGGTCAGAGGTCAGAGGTCAGCTCAGCACACGGCACCGCGGGCTCTGGGATCAGCGGAGACAGGCCAGAGGTCAGGGGTCAGTTCAGCACACGGCACCGCGAACTCCGGGGCTGGCCGGGTCAGATCCGCGCCCGGAGGTCAGCACATATGATGACAGACGGGCATGGCGGAAACCAACTGGAAACACGAGCATCACCTACCTACGTATTATGTACTGAGAAGTCGATTGACAGCAGATGTTGAAAGGTCGGATATAAGTCGGTGAAACAATGCCAGACGGCGAGACGGCGCTGTTACGGCGCACTCACCGTTCTGCTGCCGGAGCACGGCGTTCTTCTGGGCGCTGTAGGGCCGCGGTATGCTCGGGTCCTGGAACGGGTCGGAGAACCCGTTCAGCTGCGGCGGCTGGCTAAAGTGGCGCGCCATCAGCGTCTCGGCAGCAGGCAGAAAGTCGTACACCATCACCACCGCTGCGGGGGGAGGCGGGGGTCGGTCACCACGTCTGGATCCACCGACGACGGTAAGGAAGGCTTGTCACTGTTAGAACCATCAGCATCTCAGTCGTCTGTCGAGCAGGCAGCATGGAAGAGTGGCAACCATTGTTAAAATAAGCGACAAATTAATCGTCATATGTATACCACAGATAAGGGCCTCTGGCCTGCGATCGGCACTCACAGTTGTCTCCGAAGCTTTTCGTGGTGAAGAGCTCCCGGAGTGTGACCAGGTTGCTATGGTTCACCTTACTCCAGAGGGCCACCAGCTGGAGACACTTGGTGCCGGACAGTCTCAGACCTGCGCGCGTGGGGAGCATCGTCAGAGGCGACCAATGCCGGCAACTCAGCACAGCGTGACAAGCACCAACAGGCCGCTGTAAACGCACAGGGAATTATTTCATAGACTCAACTCAAAGTACTCTTGTCTCATCAAACATCTTTAGCCTTGCCCTTAGACCGGCCCAAACAGGCCCAAACAAGAAGTATGTGTTGAGCTCGTCCTGTCTAGCACACAGCCCTGCGGACGAACCCTCTGTAACCATACATCCACCGTGTATCCTCCGCAGACGGTAGCACTATACCCTCCAGTAACACTGTATCCACCCACCGTGTATCCGCCGCAGGCAGTAGCATTGTATCCAGTATCACCCACCGTGTATCCGACAGAGGCAGTAACATTGTATCCATGAGTATCATCCACCGTGTATCCGCCGCAGGCAGTAGCATTGTATCCATTATCACCCACCGTGTATCAGCCAGAGGCAGTAGCACTGTATCCAGTATCCACCCACCGTATATCCTCCGCAGGCAGTAGCACTATATCCCCCTCCCCAGGAGCACTGTATCCACCCACCGTGTATCCGTCGGAGGATGTAACACTGTATCCAGTATCACCCACCGTGTATCCGCCAGAGGCAGTAGCATTGTATCCAACCTATCACCCACCGTGTATCCGCCGCAGACAGTAGCACTGTCCCGACTTGGTATTGGTCGCCTTGTACGCGCTGGTGACGTAACCGAACGTGCTCGACTTGTGCGGCTGGCCGGGTGGCTCCAGAGGACACAGCTCGTGGTAGTTGTCCACCTCGGTGGGCAGGTCTGACACGGAGGGTAGCGGTCACATATTGATCACAGACACACACAGACACAGCTCGTGGTAACTTACTGTCCACCTCGGTGGGCAGGTGTAACACGGAGGATAGCGGTCACATATAGATCACAGACACACACAGACACAGCTCGTGGTAGGTTGTCCACCTCGGTGGGCAGGTCTGACACGGAGAGGTAGCGGTCACATATAGATCACAGACACACACAGACACAGCTCGTGGTAGTTGTCCACCTCCGTGGGCAGGTCTGACACGGAGGGTAGCGGTCACGTATAGATCACAGACACACAGACAGACACAGCTCGTGGTACTGACACGGAGGGTAGCGGTCACATATAGATCACAGACACACACAGACACAGCTCGTGGTAGTTGTCCACCTCGGTGGGCAGGTCTGACAAGAAGGGGTAATGGTCACACATTGGTAGCGAGCTTATGTCACAGTTCTGCACTCTGGAGTGCCTCCATACGTCCTCTGCCCACCCTCTGACCGGGGCGACGGGCGTCGGGCACCCACCGGGGAAGGCCTGCGGGTTGGCCTGCATGAGCAGCACGTGCTGCTGGCGCAGGATCGCCTCCCGCAGCTGGTCGCTGACGAAGAAGCTGGCCGGGTGGGTGGCCGCCTGGGCGTCCGAGAGACGCGCGGGCGGCGCCACGTACGCCGTGTAGGGCGGCGTGATGGTCGGCGGCTCGGCAGACTTCTGCACGGCCGCGTCCTCGGCGCGGAAATAGTACGTCGTGCCGCCCACATTCTCCTGTGGGGGAGGGGAAGGCATTGGTGATTGGTAGCTACTAGGATGGTTCCAATACAGTTTATCAACTCGAGGTCAAATCCATGACAAACATTGCAGCATGGCACGAACAGTTAAGTACAAAATTCTACCTACTAGTATTTTCTCGAAACCACAACTCAGGAGTATTGACTATATCAGCTCTATCCAGCCAGTCCCTACTCAGGAGTGGACAATTGTGCCGAGTTGGGGTAGCACGAGTCTTCCCAATTCCACGCCGGCTGCGCCGGCTTGGCTTTGGAGCCGCACCAGACGGCGGAGGTCAAGGTCACCGCTCGGGCGGCGGCGGATTTGCTGCGTCTATGCAACCCCAACTCGGCATATTTCTCCACCCCTGTCCCTACTGCAGCCCCTGAGCGGCGACCACGGTAGGTACCCCACTGACCTCAAACAGGGGCGCGGCGTCGGCGGCCTCCTGTCCCGGCGGTCCGGCCGCGGAGGCGGGCCCTGCCGGAGCGGCCGCCGACTGCGGCGGTGAGCCGTTGGCAGTGCTCTCCGGTGTGAAGGGGCGCGCCGAGGGGCCCAGGCCGCGGCCCTTGCCGGCCGGACTGAGTGTCAGGCCCGAAAGAGCGCTGCTCAGCTCAGGCCGGTCCGGCACACGACTCTGTGGGTGGCAGGACTGGTCAGATGACCGCGGCGGGCCGACATATGGTGAATTAGTGGCACATGACAGAGCTATGGGGATACATGGTAATATGAGCGACACCAAATGGCAAATACTCCAAGAACGTGGCATTCTAGCTAATCACTGGGAAGTGTAAGTTTGAAGGGCACTGAAAAATGGATTTTCTTATCAGAGCAATTATCTACCAGGCAGTAACAAAAAAAACATTAAATGCTTCTGTTGTCTGCTTTTAGGCACCTTTTAGGCACATAATTTAGGTAGCTACTAGCTACCTAGTAGGTATATGCAACAGGTGTTGCATAGATAATACCTACATGCAATACATGTCACAGCATTAGGTAAATATGTTAGTGAGAAATATGCTGGCATAGGTAATTCATGAATATTTATGAATAAAATGGGCTAAGCAGGGCATATTACACAGTCCTAAATCCCTGATTACCAAGGGAATTGTGACAGCAAGATAAAATGATAGAGCACAACCAATAAAGCACTAAGACGGGCAATGCAGCATGCCCTGAAATGAGCTTGTAACATACCTATGCAGCATTTTGCAGAATACCTTACTGAAAATGCATTACCTTTTAATGATCAGCACAGCAATAAATGCAAACTGAAGCATTTATCAATCATATTGATCTCAAACTTACTAGGTACTACCTATTAGTCATGTCAGGAAATGCATACTGCATAGTTATTAAAAGTGATGCAAAATATGGCAGTTTGCACATTGCATAAAATGTTTATTATGAAAACTCACAGTAAGGTATGTTGAAAGTTTAGATCCTTGTGGCAGACCAGATGAAGAAAATGGAATAAAAACATTGTCCATTTCAACACCTGTAAAACAATCTGCAACAGAGACAAAATTTGAGTAAAGCACCCAATATCACATAACAATGAAAAGAGGCCGGTTTTAACTTCCTCCAGAATTCAATTTAAGACAGACACTTCTAAAAAAATAAGCTCTTTCAACTAAGGTGGTGGACAGTTGGCAGCTGTCATCTCGATACAGAGTGAGGTGAAGTATCGTGTGTTTGGTAAGGTTAAGCTAGTTTCAAGTGGTGTTTTCAAGTCATTTGATTTTTTATTAAGCTGGCATGATATGACTAAAAACGCAATTGCCAAAGAAGTGGAGCAAAGGATGAGAAGTGAATATGTTTAGTTAAAAGAGAATACATTCCCCACAACAAAACAAAAAAAGAATAGAATCAGCAGTGGTCATTAAAATCAGTCATTGAAATATAACTGATCCAACTGTAACATGAACATGTCTAGCTTTGCCTCCCTAACTGTCCTGATAGCACAGAAAATATTTATTAGCCAGAAGTGGTCAGTGTTGGTGTGCAACAACTCAAACTGTTGCAACAAATGGTGCCCAGCATGTTGACGCTTAAATACTATCTGCCACAGTGACCACTCAAGTGTAATCCAATGTAATTGAGTAGCAAAAGCACATATATTAATAAAACGCAGACTAACCTAGTGTAAATAATCACCTAACGCCTTTATTACTACTGATGTTGCTAAACATCAACATACCCTGCGAAATTCTGCACCACACACGGCAAGCACCAGTTATGTCTGTCGTCAACTCCGGCGCTACTTAGACGATATATTTGCTGGTCAGCTGTTCTTATTTATTTTGCTTTCCTTCGCTATTCTTTATTTCTTTTTCTTAAAGTTTGAAAATTTTGATGAAAATATTTAAGCTGAAAAATAATTTTAAAAGATGTCAAAGAGTAAACCAAGGCCTCAAAGTGGACTAAAATATACCTTTTAATACCGTTTTCCGACATTTTGTGCCTATCAGCTGACAACGTTGGACAACGTACTCTTCCTTGAAGCAAACTATACGCGTTCAATGGTTATGCCCGTTATGCCTTTTGTATTATCATAAATCCGCTTATTACACAGTTGCGAGGGGTCACTGGCTTTCCCACCGATTAGTTCAGTAGGCCAAGGCCCTAAATACATAACAATGAATGGCAATGAAAGGCAGTCGCCGCGCGGTCTCACCTGGTGTAGAGCAGTAGGCGGAACTATGGTCAAGCGTACCCATTTTCGGGAACGCATTTTCGTTCCCATGTTTGGGAACGATAAACCCAAATATGGGAACGCCATGTAGGCATTATTTAAAACAAGAAAAAGAATCGTTAAATGACGTCCAAAAAATATAAAACGATCGTGAACCGCCTGATATTTGTCTCAATATTGTTGGGAAAGAGTTTGATATTGTAAGGCTCATCGTAGTTTCAAATCGTTCCCCTATATCTAAAGCAGTCCATCATCCGGGCCGCGAGCCCAAATTTGGGAACGCTCTCGTACACTGGCGCTGCAAGCGTTCCTTATTATGGGAACGGCGTACCCAATATTGGGAACGATTTCACCGACGCCTTTCAGGGGCTCTTTTCATTAAAGGGACCATCCCACCTTAACATTAGTTTTGAGTTGAGATAGCCAAATTGGTGGCCATGGCCTGAAAATACCGGTTTGGGCACTCACAACATCGAAAAATGTTTTAAGCAACACGCCCAACGCCGCAAATCATTGTTAACGCAACAATCATCAGATGACCTTTCCGGCAAGACCGTCGCATGTTTCGCCCGGTCTTCTGCGCTTTTATTCCCGTCGATCTCGCAGCGGGCACGCCCCCCTCTGCAGGATTACGTAATTCAAAACGCTCAGCGATGTTCAACAAGGGTCTTCCATACCTATATCCACCGTCTGCGCCGAGGGTGGAGACATGTCAAGCACCTGTCTGTTTATCACCGATAGTTGACGAGCACAAGGAAGTATCCAAAAATGGGAACGCTGAATATGTTACATCCTCAAAACACCTAGTCCCAATGAAAATCTAGTTTTTTCCTTTCTTAATGAGTGCAAGTGGCAAAAGGCCTGGTAGGATGGGCACGAGGAATGATCGAAATCAGCATAAAAATTATAAATAAGCCACACAGAGCGACCTATATAAGAGAAATTCCCCCAAAACGATCATGCTTAGAAACACGGAAGACAAAAACCACGCTCATGACGCTCCTTATAAAACAACGCTAAACAGCTAGCATCCAAATAAAATATGTCTTTCCGGGCTGATAAAATACAGCTGAATAATTTTAAACCACTGAAACTGAGTTTACAAAAGTAGTTCGGTAAAATCACTGACGTTCCACGCGGTCGTGCGCCCAGACACCAAAAGTCAACAATATTACCACGGGACTGTCCGCGTGTTCGCTTGCATATGTCAGCATCTGGTGTCGCTAGTATGAAACTTCATAACCAGGCGAAAATTATTATACTTGACCTCAAAATGTAAAAAACGCTTCATTTTCCTTAAAATTGCATGTTAAATGTAGTATAACCCATGTTTTCACCATTCCGTCATTTCAAAAAATCATTAAAAATATCATTCGACGGTCAATTTCCTTGTTCAACGGTCAGATTAAAGATAATTTTATAGAGATTTAGTAGATACTTAAATAAGCGTGCACTTTTTTGAGACGTGGTGCACTAATGAGTTTTAGTGGGCGAACGGCCGAAAAATTACCTTCCGTTCTCATAAATGGGAACGCCCGTTCCCATATTTGGGAACTCCGTTCCCAAAAATGGGAACGTTCCTATATTTGGGTACTCATGACCATAGTTCCACCTACTGAGTTTTGTGAGGGTCCGCGCTGGGGCGATATTTATTTTGGGGGGCGAAAGTCTGTTTCCCGTCGGAGTTGTGTCTGTGTTCTTTTGTTATTTCACGCATAGGTTATTGCATCACCCTTTTAGCATCACTGGCACAATGATCAAGCTGTTCTCTCTCAAGCAACAGAAGAAGGATGAGAGCGGCCAGTCGCCTTCAACATCAAAGCGAGTCTCTGCTGCCCAGCTCCGAATTACTAAAGGTAAAGGGAAAACAAAAGGTGAAAGATTATTGCTTATTGAGTCAGAGTGGGTACATCTTTTTAAAGGCTGAAATGTTTATCCGTATCAGTTTTAACGCATCAGTCAAGCCCATATCAGTGTTGAATTTAAAAGCAATTTGGTCTGTAAAATTTCAAGCTATTTTCCATTGGCTATCAGATAGGTGAATGAAGTCTTAAACCAGTTAGCTGAAGTGAAGTGTTTTCACGTAATAAATGCAGCATGAATTCATCTTTAATTGCCCTTCAGCAGTTCAAGATATCCTACTTTGCTTTGCCACTGTCCAAAGAAGTCATTGGTTGCAACCAACTGATGAAGTGCTGCACCCATAGGGAGCAGCTGAGCAGAGCACAGCAAGGTTTCAGAAGAAGGTGAAGGTCACTGCATGCACGCAACTGCTTAATAATCCTCAGGAGTGGATCAGCATGCTGGGAAATGGTGATATACCTAGGTATTTAATGTTTGGCCTTAAGATTTGAGAGAGCTTCCTGTCTAGAAGAAAGGGACCTTGGTATTTTATCTACTTTCTGCTGAAGGTTAAAAAACAAGCACTATGCAGGTCTCCATGATACCATGCATTTTACCAGCCATGTGCGATCCATTGGTTCTTTGCTTTTCTTGACCATTCCAAAGGTATGATAAAATGGGAAGACTTGATCCTTGACCTATCATCACTGAAAAACACACCACAATCACTCTGGTGATGCAATAGCGAAGTATCTACTACCTAGCTGGAGCGCGCATGGCAGGTGTGACCATTTGGTTTCCTGCTGTCTAGATACACCCTGGCTAATCCATCACTCAACACTGTGACAGCTACAACCATTATATGACCTCAGCGCCCATTTCTCCTTTAGCAATCACAATCGCAGCATCAAAAATGTGGTTGAGATATCTGAATGTTGATAGAGAACTATAAGTGGAGACATTAGACATTTCAAAGGCATTCTGATGTTTGTGGCCAGAAGGAAGAAACGAAGCACTTCAGAATGTCAGTGTTAAGGTGCTACTCTCCGACCGAGAATTCCATGCCGGACATCGAGAGATGGATGTCTTATTCACTAGACCCCGCGGAGGACACGGTCTGGCTAGTGAAGTGTCGGGACAGACCCGTCATCCCTGAATTACTCGGAGCTTTGGTGCATGGACATTGGACACACTTCAGTGAGCACTGAGCACTTCAAAGCTGGGGACTTAAAATGAAACGGATGTCTGGAATCATTCATTTTGGTGAAGTTGAGTCTCATTTATTTATCCGACATGACTGGGAATTGGAGAAGAAGAAAGGAAAAGAAGAATAGGAAAAAGGAAAGGTTAGCGAAACTAGCCCGTCCAGTGAATTGCACGTTTAAATAACTCCCTGTGTTTCTTTCAGACATCAATGAGCTGAACCTGCCGAAGACGTGTCAGACCGAGTTCCCTGACCCTGACGACCTGTTGAACTTCAAGCTGATCATCTGCCCGGATGAGGTGAGTGTCGGTAGCGACGAACGTCGAGAAACCAGATGTAACGACGATAAATCAGATGTAACGATGATAAACCAGATGTAACGACGAGAAACCAGATGTAACGACGCGACGATGAACCAGACGTAACGACGAGAAACCAGATGTAACGATGGGAAATCAGATGCAACGACTAGAAACCAGATTGAACGACGCGACGATAAACTAGACGTAACGACGAGAAACCAGATATAACGACGATAAACCAAATGTAACGACGATAAACCAGGTCTAATGCCGATAAATCAGGTCTAACGACGATAAACCAGGTCTAACGACGGTAACCCAGTTATAAGGACGATAAGCCAGGTGAAACGATGAAAAATCAGGTGTAACGACGCTACCCCAGGTTTAACGTGGATTAACCAGGTGTAACGACTATACCCAGATATAACGACGATAAACTAGGGAAGTGATGATAAACCGGGTGTAACGATGATAAACTAGATATAACGGCGATTAACTAGGTGTAACGACGATAAACCAGAAATAACGACGATAGGCTAGGTATAAGAGCGATAAGAGCGATAAATCAGGTCTCTGCTGGCTGCTAGCTATGACGATAGCTCTAACGGTTCCTCCTGTGGGATGTTAACTGTAACGGTAATGGAGGCGGGCTTAGATGGGCGCAAAATGACCTCACAGTCGGCGCGCCCCTAACCCCCAACAAACAAGCAAACAAACAAGAGGCGGGCTTAGTCCTTGTCGGATCCTAACTAGGTACATGGTGCGGTACTGTGGAATGTTAGTTGTGATGACTTTGCTCTGTTAAATGCTAAATATACCGATATCGATAGCAACTTAGTTCTGGTCGGATGCTGCCGATTATGGTTACAGTGACGGGCTTAATCCCTGTCGGATGCTAACTATGACCTCAACGAACGGCAGCGATACCGCCGGGGTCATTTGTTGAATACAGACAGTTACGTTATTGTGATTCGTGAATTTTACTTTCAGTGGTCCTCAAAGTTATGGCGCTATCCGTTTTATTTACAGCATTCGGCATGCCCGATTCATATTGGACGCAAGGTTATGCATTTACATATGTTGAATGTGTGGTGAGACAAGCACAATGCATATGCAAGGACATCTAACACATCTCGCTATTAAAGCGATTGGAAAGTGAGACATATTTTGCCATTTTTCTGACCACTAATGGTCTTCTGAATAGTTGACATACCTACCCTTTGTTAACTTTGAGCTTAGATGAGATCAATAGCAATTAGCAGCAATAGCGTCAACTACACTATGCAACAAAAAATGAAAGATTTTCTGTTCCTGGAAAGCGACCAAATTTTTCTTATTCATTGGGTCCTATCATAACCGAAATGGGCATTTGTTTTGATCTGAAAATGCTTTTCCGGTTTTCAGAGACGATTTTCGATTTTTGGCCCCGAAATTCGGTTTTTAGCCCACCGTGTCCGGTGTAATTGAGTAATCGACTCGCGGTAACTTTCACCGCCTTTCCTATGCCACAAGCTTTCGAATGATATCCGTTTTTGCATATTTGCGTGTAAAAATAACGTCATAAATCTATGCTAAAGTATAAAAATGTTGAAATTTTGTAAAAATTTGACATTTTTTTTCGATTTCATTTCAAAATAGAGAAAAAACTAAAGGCCCTATCAAAATTCTGAGCCCAGTTCCTTGAATAGCATTCAATTTCCGTTCGGAAGGTACTATTTTAGTGCATTTTATCAGTTTACTGTGCCGTCCAGATTGAGTTAACCTAAACACATATCCTAGGTCATATCACATAGCATTAACCTGATAACGTATGTTAACGCCATAGGGTCAACGAGGGGTCAACTGAGGTCATGTTGTTGACCCCTTGTGACCTCGGGTCACACACAGGAACTTACTTTTGAGCAGTCCTGTCGCTCAGAATCTTGATCTGTACCTCCATTTGTTAGAATGATTCTTCATGCACTGAACACATATTGTCATGGAAATGGCTGGGGGCCCGTTTTTCAAGTGACTCAATCTGGACGCCACAGTAAACCGATAAAATGCTCTAAAATAATACCTTCCGAACGGAAATTGAATGCTCTTCAAGGAACTGGGCTCAGAATTTTGATAGAGCCTTTATTTTTTCTCTATTTTGAAATGAAATCGAAAAAAATGTCAAATTTTTGCAAAATTTCAACATTTTCTCACTTTAGCATAGATTTATGACATTATTTTTACAAGCAAATATGCAAAAACGGATATCATTCGAAAGCTTGTGGCATAGGAAAGGCGATGAAAGTTACCGCGAGTCGATTACTCAATTACACCGGACACGGTGGGCCAAAAACCGAATTTCGGGGCCAAAAATCGAAAATCGTCTCTGAAAACCGGAAAAGCATTTTTAGATCAAAACAAATGCCCATTTCGGTTATAATGAGATCCAATGAGTCCAAAAAAAATCGGTCGTTACTCAGGAACAAAATGACTGTTGCATAGTGCTATTGGTTGAACATGTAAGTACATACCTAAGAGCTCCCAGTATCGTCATGAAGCATGACTGATAAACACAAGTTTTCATTAATATTGACGCATTGTCCTTGCGATGGCTTCTATCCCCGGTCCATGACATAATGCGCGTCCCGGCGGGATGTGGTTGTTTCCATCGGGCCCTGGATGCTACTGTTGCCGTTGTTGATAGTGCGGACTTTCCTGGCCGGATGCCGGTCGTCCTGTGGGTGTCGGTGGCCCGGGGCTGCACAGTGCACAGACCCGTCCTATCGGAGACGGGCCCGTGCAGGGCGGGGTGATACCCGGCCCCCGGGGAGTGCTGCGCCCCACAACTCACCCCCTACCCCCTGCCGCCCTGTTCCAGGGGTACTACCGAGGAGGTCGGTTCGTGTTCAGCTTCAAGGTCGGCTCCAGCTACCCTCATGAGCCGCCCAAGGTGAAATGCGACACTATGGTGAGTTCGACAGGAGGGATCCGCCCAGCTGTGCCATGGCAGGTCGATATGTACATTATTGTAAGTACAAATATTATCAGTGCGTATTAGGTGAGCATTGTCATGTAACAGTGAGCAGGTTTCACGTCCCATTGTTGAAGAATCTACACTAGCAAAGCCGTTATGTATGTCGTACTCGTAGCGCTGGCTTGCGGTCACCGAACCTCTGGGTGTATGTAGGTAAGGTATTGTACTCTTGTTTGATCTGCCGCTCTCTGTTCCAGGTGTATCACCCTAACATCGATCTGGAGGGCAACGTGTGCCTCAACATCCTCAGGGAAGACTGGAAGCCGGTGCTCACCATCAACTCCATAGTCTACGGCCTTCAGTACCTCTTTCTGGTGGGTCCGCGCCTGTCGGCCAAAGACTTTAACTCCCGGCAATGCAATTGTGGTATGTTTTTAGATTAGCGAAACTGCTGATGTTCCCGCTGCTGAACCATGACTGTGCCTACATTTGGTTAGAAGGGCCCTTCTACAGGTGAGTGAGCCCGTGAGTATGCGGGGAACGCTGAACATGTTCTGACTTCAGTGAATGAATGTAAATGGTTTAACATCCGTACTTTTGTGTTCCCACTCAAAAACGATGCATAGTGGCTTTGTCCCGTTGTCGCTAGGCGTAGCGATCAGTTGTGAAGAGGTGTGATCGCATTGTTAGGATCTGACCGGGTGACTGTTTTGTCGATAAATATGGCCGACCTCAGCAGTTGTGTCGATGAATCCCACTGGCCGTAACAGTGTTCAATTGTGGCCTGCCGCTCTGTACCGGAGGGCCCATGTTCTTTTTTAATCGCCGCTGAGTCCGGGAGGACCCGTGTCTTATCCTGACCCCCGGAGGACCCGTGTCCTATTCTGACCGTGGAGTCCAACCCGGATGATCCGTATCCTGTTCTGGCCTCCGCTGTGTCCCGGAGAACTCGTGTCTTACTCTGACCGTCGCTCTGTGTCTGTGCCGTACACAGGAGCCCAACCCGGAGGACCCGTGTCCCATAATTCTGACCGCCGGTCTGTGCCGTACCACAGGAGCCCAACCCGGAGGACCCGTGTCCCATAATTCTGACCGCCGCTATGTGCCGTACACAGGAGCCCAACCCGGAGGACCCGCTCAACAAGGAGGCGGCCGAGGTACTGCAGCACAACCGGCGTCAGTTCGAGCAGAACGTCAACAAGTCGTTACGCGGCGGGTACGTCGGCACCGTCTACTTCGAACGCTGTGCCAAGTAGGCGGTGGAGACGACGGTGGCGACGTGATACAGACTGCCGAGCTGGCCACCAGGGGCGCTGCCGGCGCCAGGCGCCCGACGCGCGGCCAGTGCCCGGTGATATTGAGAGGCCGCCGTGCGCCGCCGGCGCAGTGCTGCCAGCGCAGAGACGGTGTGTGACGTGACGTGACGGCGGCGCCGTGTGCCGCGTCACGGGCGTGATTGTGCGCCCGGACAGCGCCAGGACGATTCTCTGACGGCGCGCCCGAGGGCGGAGTGTGCTGCTGGCTTGATGTCGCGCTCCGAGCGCGATTTTATAATGGCTGTTCGCCTCCCGTATGATTTCATGTCGATAGAGGCGACTGGCCTCGGGTATTCACTAATGTGACTCTGGGCCTGGCCTTGGGATTGTCGATAAATCCACTCGTAAGATGTAAATAATACAGAACTGTACATTCTCTGTAGATATTCATACGCTATGCATTGTTCTTTCTTGGGACTTGTTGGGCTCGCTCTTCACTAATCTATTGAGAGGAGGAACAGTTGTCATTGCGCAACACTGTATTGTTCCCAAAAATGAAACGAAACGTCACGGAATGCAAACAATGAAAATGTGCAATTTGTCAATGCCACGGTCATACGCTGAACATATTCAAACATACTAACATGCCAACAATGTTGTAACAGATAAAGCCTCCAAGACAAGTGTGACTGTCGAGCGTCTAAGCCCGGGCGGGGAGTCGAACCGATGATAACAGGAATAAACAACTAAACAAACCGGGTATGAATAATGCTCAACATCACCTCCTAGGCCAATTTTATCGAGGATAGAACATCATTGGTGGCCCGAAGCGAACTGCCCGCCCACATTCACACATTCAGCACGTCTAGCAGAGACCGCCCCGGAAGACCCCTGGTCGCCCTGCCCCGCCCCAGACTGAGGTGACTGACGGGGCACACCGCCGCCCAATTTCCGCCCGTCCGCCGGCCGGAGCCCCATTTGCACTGGTCCGTACGGAGAGTTCACACTGGTAGCCGTCTGTCATTGTGCCGTGCTGTCCGGTGCTCCGTTCAGATTGTCTGTCAGTCGGCGGGTCGCTCTGCCCTGCCACACCACACGGTCGCGGCCTGTGCGCCCCGCGCGCACTATATCACATTGGTTGAGTCTGTTCGCCGAGTGTATCGGCGTCGGAGCGGCTCTAGAGCTCGTCGTGCTCCTCCTTGGATGGGTCGGAGGCCGCGTCGTCGTCGGCAGACACCTCCTCGGGCTCCTCGGCGGCGGCCGCGGCCGGCTCTTCCTCGGGCTGGGGGAGGGAGAGGGCGGGTACCGTCAGACAGAGGGTCACTAGGGGTAGGTATAACTAGGTACTACAGGGAAAGGGAGGGTACCGTCAGACAGAGTCACTAAGGGTTAGGTACCACAGGGCGGCCGGCTCCTCCTCCGGCTGGGGGAGGGAGAAAGGGTACGTCAGACAGAGGGTCACTAGGGGTGCCACAGGGCGGCCGGCTCCTCCTCCGGCTGGGGGAGGGAGAGGAAGAGTATGTTGGCCACTGCGTCAGCCATGTCACCAAGGATCCTAGGCAACTGAGGATACCAGAATACGACCGGCGTGTCGACTGGACGCTGCCGAAGTGAGCCGATGATAGAACGAAAAAAATCAACTAACAATCAGGTCGACTGTTGGCCAAACGGCGATTAAGAATCTTCAATTTCGCACGAATCCTTTCCCCGGCCACCACCATAGTCTCCCACCGTTCCCACCTTCCGGCCCCTCCGCCCGGCTTACTATCGTGGCCTCCCACCGCTTCACTATCATGGCCTTCACCTCATCGTTTCAATTACGCCTCTCGATCACTCACCTGTTCATCGAGCGGCACGCCGAGCGTCTTGCGCATCATGGTCTCGATGCTGGCGGCAAAGTCGACCGTGTCCTTGAGCTGGAAGCCGGAGCGGAGCACGGACGTGCGGTAGAGCATGCGCGCCATGTCTCGGGTCGTCTCGTCGGCGCTGCCCTCCTCCACCAGTCGGAGCATCTCCTTGATGAGCGGGTGGCGCGGGTTGATCTCGAGCGTCTTGCGCTGGTTCTGGTAGTAGGCGCGGCTCGGATCGTCGGCCTTGGTGTGTGTCTGAGAGGTGACGATGCGCTCCATGTTGCCCGTCCAGCCGAACTGGGAGGCCACCAGGGCGCACGGCGTCGACGTCAGGCGGTTGCTGACCGCCACCTTGCCCACCTGGAACGGACGGGGGACGCTGGTCAGAGCAAGGCGCGGGCTGCAGTGGCCGACAGGAATGGGCACAGCTGCTGCAGCTAAGCGGAGTGAATGCTGCCAGCAATACTTTCAAGCTTAGTGACTATTGTCAGCTCCACAAGTTAGCACCATACAACATTTGATTTCATAAGATTTTGCTCCGACATTAATACAGCAATTCCGATGAAACTCAACGTTGGCGCTGAATACTGTAGTCTGGTTCTGTCGCCGTGCCAACTGAACATACATTCTTTCTGGGCAACGGCGGCAGATCAAGCGGAGACGCCGCCGGCCGGCTCCGTACGGCATGCTCACCTCGTCACTGAGCACGTCCTCTCCGAGCCACTTGGTGAGCGGCTCGTAGGTCTTCTGCAGCTCCTCCATCGTGTCCTTGTCCTCCTTCAGCGTCAGGCCCTCCTTGGCCGTGTTCTGGAACTTCTTGCCCTCGAACTCGGGCAGCGACGAGATGGCGTACTCGTCGATCGGCTCAGTCAGGTACAGCACCTCGTAGCCCTTCTTCAGCAGACGCTCGGCGAACGGGAACGTCTCGCACTGCCGATGGGTCGGGGCGAGCGTCAGAGGCAGGGCGGAATGGGGTACAGCGAAAAATCCGGAGAACCAGCAGAACATTCGGCTTCCCAGTGCACGTCACGAAAATAATAGCAGCAGAATATAGCCATGTTTTACCAGGTCACTGCAGCCATCGATTGCACCTAGTTATTCAGAAGGTAGTCACTAACGCCATTAACTAACACCGTTGCGTTGATATTTGCTACAAACAAGTTCTATAAATTCCAGCAGCTGACAATAATTTCATTTCTACGCTCTGGCACAGCGTGGTAAGCCCACCTCCTTGCGGTTGGCGCCGGCCACGAAGTAGATGTGCTCCTGTCCGTCCTTCATGCGCTTCACGTAGTCGGCCAGCGAGGTCTGCTCCTCCTCGTCATTAGACGAGTAGAAGCGTAGCAGCTTGGCCAGCCGGCTGCGGTTGGAGGCGTCCTCGAACACGCCCAGCTTGATGCTGGTGCTGTACTCCTTCCAGAACTGCTCGTAGTCCTCGTCGCTCAGCTTCTTCAGCATGTCAATCACCTGCCAACGGCGCGGAAACACCGTTAGTGAGCTGCGGGTCATGGCGAAAAGCAATGAACTCTTATTCAGATATCATATGGAATTTCCGAACAAGGAAGGAACCTTATGATTTCGACAGTTACGTTATACCACACGGGTGTTAACTGTACTGCACAAGAAATTTGCACAATACCGAAATTACTTCGTCCTTTAGACGGTTAAGTTCACAAATACCCCGCTGTGCTCACCTTGCGGACCAGCTTCTTTTTGATGACCTTGAGCAGCTTGTGCTGCTGCAGGTCCTCCCTGCTGACGTTCAGGGGCAGGTCGTCAGAGTCGACGATGCCGCGCACGAAGCTCAGGTAGCTGGGAATCATGTCCTTGAAGTCGTCCGTGATGAAGACGCGGCGCACGTACAGCCGGATGTTCTCGGTTTTGGTGCCGTAGTTGCGGAGCATGTCCGAGGGCGCCACGCGCGGCACGTACAGCAGCGACTTGAAGGTCACCTCTCCCTCGGCGATGAAGTGCGTCTTGGCCAGCGGGCCCTTGGAGTCCTTGGTGAGCGCCTTGTAGAACTCCTCGTACTCTGCCTCCTCCACGTCGGCCGGCTTCTTGGTCCAGATGGGCTTGGCGTCGTTCTGCTTCACCCAGTCCCAGGTGGTCTTGGAGACCTTCTTGGTCTTGGGCTTGTCGTCCTTGTCCTCCTCGACCTCGACCTCGCCGTCCTCTGAGGACTTTTCGGGCTTCTCCTCGTCCTCCTCGAGCGGCTCCTCTACCTCCTCGGTCTGGAGAGACACGTCATCGTCGTCAGCTCACTGACAGAACGAGACTCGCGGCGTCCCCAGCTCATCATACGTACAGACGAGAATCATTTCCACAGCACAAGTAAGAGCATTTAGATCCTATTGAGTGAAAATTACAAACACAAGTACACACTACAAAATGTATGAAAATGTCAATAGGTAGAGCCACATGTGGTTGAGCTAGAGATGCCGGGATCCGAGCTTTCTATGAAGCTATATTTGCCATCGTTGATCGTCCCACCTTGCTCTCCCACAGGTAAAGGTCGAAGTTGATGAACTGAGAGTACTTCTTGATGATCTTCTTGAGCGTGTCCAGCTCCAGGAAGTCCTGCGCCTCATCCTTCAGCACCAGGCTGTGGAACAAGCATTTAATTAATAACACAGCAGAAGGCCCATCAAAACACTACACGGTAAACGTACAACATGCACTGACGCAAGCTGGTTATATTCGATATTCGAAAAGAATTGGAATAATAAATCGATAGCTATGAAAAACATCCAGAATGTCAACAATGGATATCAGCCTGACAGGAATCAGTAATTATTGCAAAAGCAAGCACTGACACCACTGAAATGAATGAAATAGCACGGGCAACATCCGGACTGCCGAGTGGCGCCAGGTGGCATACCGTACCTGACGGTGGTGCCGCGCGGCAGCGTGTCCTCGCGCGGGTCCTCCACGATGCTGAAGCTGGACGAGTCAGACTCCCAGATGTACTGCTTGTCGGCGTTGTTCTTGGACGTGACGATCACGTTGTCGGAAACTGGAACGCAAAATATCTATATTGTAGTTGACGATTTCGCAGAGTTTTTTCTTTTAGTTCATAGTTCAAAGGCAGCTGGGTATACGGTAATAAAACTTACCACAATTTCATTACGATGTAGGCTAGCTCAGCTATAGACCATTTTGAGGAGTAAGCAAGCATATTTAATGAGAATGCTGTCTGATTAGGGCGCATAGGCGCGAGGCCAATTCCGCGTCCAATAACCGAAAAATCTAGCAAGCGATTTAGCGAGCGATCCACATGAGCAGTCGACTAACCGAGGAAGGAGGAGTAGAAGCCGACGCCGAACTGTCCGATCATGTCGGTCAGCTGCTGCACGTCACCCGTCTCGGCCATCTTGGCCAGGAAGTCAGAGGTGCCAGACTTGGCGATCGTGCCCAGGTTCTTGATCAGGTCCTCCTTGGTCATACCGATACCCGTGTCGGTAATGTGCAGCATTTTGTTCTCCTTGTCGGCCTGAAACGAAATTAACACAACTATGTAAGCTTGTTGCCGTTGACTGACAAGCCGATGACAGCAGATAGGACGACGTTGACATCGAATATCGACAAG